ACTATTACTATTATTTATAATTGTCTTTTTTTTTAAAAAATAAATATTATTTTTTGTTCTTAATATAATTCACAAAGCATTTATCATCTTCAGTTAATATACATTTGTCAGAGCTTTTAATTGGTTTGCCTTTACTTACATATTCTATATATTTTGTCCAACGTGTAGAATATTTGCTTCTAGTCTTATATCAAATAAAAAAAGGGCTTAATTATTGAGTGCCAGGATTTTTGAGCCAATCAAAATAAATTTATGATTTGAATCATAAATTTATTTCGATTGGCTAATTTATAATTTATTTTGATTGGCTAATTCATAAAAATTCTAATTGCGTCAGTGGTGTATTCCATCCTGGGACACGTGAAAAGGACGGGGGACGGGTTCAAGCCACACCTGCCCGTCCCCCGTCCTTTTCCAGCATCCCTTCCATCCTCCTACATCAAGTAATGGCCCAAAGAAATAGACAAAAAACAAGCAGAAATCATAGAAATTGAATCACAAAAGATATTGGATGCTTGTAAAGCAGATAAAATTCTGTCTAAACATGTCTCTGAATGGTATCATCCTCCAAAATACTCTTATTGAAGTTTAACACCAAATCCCGATGATGACTATTTATTATCAATTTTCTTTTGGTGACCTGAAAAATTCTATCACCACTATGTACCTATCATTCATTTTATAATTGACAGTTGCAATGGGAAGGCTAAATCAAAAGGGTGGGCAGATGGAGGTGCACGATTAATTTATGGTATTAATAGAAATGTTTTGCTACTTAGTTGGAGTTATACTTGTGATTCTTGTAAAATTAGCTTTTATTCTCATGATGATAGAGTGTTGAGAAAATTACCAGAACATATACAACATGATATGTTTATGTATATTATTAATTTATATATCAATTTCATAATTAGCATTTCCTTTTTGTTTGTTTTATTTTTAAATTGGCTTTTTCTTGGTTCTATTTTATTGATTATTAGATCAATTTTTGATTTATAATAGAGAATTGATTTTTGTAAGTTTTAAAGTGAAGAAACCAAGCAAGGATCCAATTAACAATCCACAAAAAAGTTCACAGTTGAAAGTAATAGTATGTCCC